AATGATGTTTTTTAATCCATAGGTTCGTAAACGAAAATCACCAACTGAGCAAAAATAAGGAGACATAGCATCCTTGTGCGTAATTCAGAATATACAAATTTAAAAACTCACTGATATACATAATTTTCAGATTGAAATAGAGAGTCTGCACTTTGCAATACTATTTATTTTAAATATATCAAAAATATATTTATGATATTTGAAAAAAATTATTAAAAGTACGGAGAGTTAAGATTAATATAACATACAAAACACTTTATTAAGTTTGAGTTAGAAAAATTCGTCACTAAAATCTTCTGGCATCATTACAGCAATTCTGCCTTCTTCTTCATTATCTGCTGCAACGATCATTAAATAGTTAGCCGAAATCTTAGTGATTTCTGTGCCTGTAAATGGCTTTGATGGTGCACATGTATTAGTATCTAAATTATACGGGTAAATTATATTATCTTCGGTCAAAAATGTAATATATTCTGCTTCGAAGCATGGAGCATATATCATGCTCTTAAGTAATGCCTTCTGGCCTCCGTCTGTGTGTTCAATTAATGAAAAGTTTTTATAAATTGAAAATCCGGACTGGTATCCTACTGCAAGGTAGTCATTGTATGCAGCCATTCCAATTGTTCTCATTTTTCTGATTTTTGTCAATGGATTAACTTCTAATTCTATTTTTTCTTCAGAATTTTTGTTCCATTTGATTAAAGAACCGTCAACATATGAAGCAATTATGTTTTCATTATCAATGAACTGTATGTGGCATGAAGGAATTGAAGAATTTGGATCTTGTTTATATGGCTGTTTCAATATTCTTGTATCGCTAAGTACTATGCCTTCCTTGGAAGATGAAACAGCAAGTTGTTCATTAAACAGGCAAAAACTTAATATTTCCTTAGATGAGGAATAAATGTTTTGAGGCTTGTCTGAAGATCTCATATCATATCTGTATATTGACTTTGTATCTGTGAAGTATAAGTTTTTTTCGTCATCTGTTGTTAAACCTGTAATTGGAAATTGAAACTTATTATCATACACAATACGACAGTTTTCAGCATCAAAGATACCAAGTCTGCCGCTCTCACATCCAAATGCGCATAGTGACGAAACGCCTGTGAAAGCAGCAAGCTCTGTAACTATCTCTCCAATTTCCATAACTAAACGAGTTTTTTTTTTTTTTTTTTTTTTTTTTTTTTGAAGAGGCTCAATTGATCAATTGGGTCTTCTCAATTTTTTTTGACACAATTTATTTTGGGATATCAAAGAAATCGTCTTTCACGCACAACTTCATCTTAAAATAAATATTATATTTACCGCTATTCCAAAATATTACATTGTTCATTGGTGTTAGCTCATAAAAATCGAGAAATCTTAATCGTGTTTATGCATTCATTTCAACCAGCATTAATGAAAAGTTATAAGTGTTTAGATATATCATATACTATCGCTTTTCATGACAATAACATGAAACAAAAATTTAGCAATAAATTATATAATAATTCAGAACTTTTACTATTAATACTCTATTCAACTTGTGTCTATTTACCCTTTATACATCAGCAAATAGCGTATGGTTAAAGTTCTACGAAACATCTCTCCAAACTTCACCTATCTCAGGAACAAACATAAAATTAGATTCAAGAAATGACCAATATTTCATATACAACTGTTTATTCATAGATTCAACCATTAAAAGCGCAATTTATTTTACAAGCGATTATAAAAAACTTCTTTTATCGGATAGTTATTTTAATAACTGCAGCAGTAATACCAATTACAATGGTGGAGCAATTCACTTCAGTTGCAGTAGTTCCATTGTTCAAAACCGAGTCTGTGGTTACAAATCGAAAACTAGCGCTGAAAATAGTCATCATTCGTATACATACATAAAAAATGGAGCTAATCTCAAAAATTACATATTCGAAAGTTCTTTTTCTGCTTGTGGGGATACAAGCTCTTCCCTAACAAATTCACTTTGGAATGGTAATATTGAAGTGAATTCAATTAATACAAGTTTCTGTGAAGCACAGTATAACCCAGGAATTTATATTGATTTCTCTTCTGATCTTTGTACAATTTTATATTCGTCATTTTGTAACAATACATCACCAAATATAATTTTAGAGTTTGTTAATAGTAATAACTTTAATTTTAAGTTATCTAATGTTTTAAACAATAAGAAAACGTCATCATATCTTGGAATATTGTTAACAAATAATGCAATAGTTATAATTGAAAATTGTTCATTTCTCGGAAACCAGGGTTCTGGAAAAGAATTTTATGCATATAATATAGGGTGTCCAAAGGTGTGTTTAGCACAAACCTGAATACTGCGAATAGAAATAAACAAGTTACATATATATAAAGTTTATTTAAATATAATCACCATTGGATTCAATCACGCGTTCGCAGCGATCGATCCAGGCTTGAAAGACACGCTTTAAATCATCATGAGAAAATTGCTCAAATTGCTCTCTTACAAAATTTTCAAGATCATCTGGACTCGCGAATTCGCGTCCTTCAGCTCTCTTTTTTAGCGTGCCGAATAAATAAAAGTCAGAGGGTGCAATATCAGGCGAATAAATTGGGTTTGGAACAACTTTGACATTGTTTTCCACCAAGTAATTCATTACCTTATGACTTTTGTGAACTCTTGAATTATCAAAATGAATTGCAAACTTTTGTTTTTGTTGTTTGGATTTCTCAAACTCATCAGAATTGATAATTTGAGTAAGAACATTGTCAATTAGATACTGAGCATTCATCGTATTAGGTTTTTGAAGAATATCAATTGCGATGATGCTATTCACGCCCCAAAAAACCGACAACATCATCATTGGTGTGTCAATTTTTTTCTTCGGGAATGTTTGCGGATTTTCATCCTTCGGGATCCACATGATTTTGGCTTCTGTTGCATATTGAAACCAAGACTCGTCCCCTGTTACTATAAAGCGAAACTTCTTGGATTGATACGCACCCAATATAGAGAGGAGCTCTTTCGAAGATTGGACTCTAGATTTTTTTTGAACTGAATTAAGGTTGTGCGGAACCCAACGTGTATACGCTAGTTTGTAGTTCAAATAATTGTGCAGATAATAACTGACTGTTGTACGTGGTATCTTTGTCATCTCCTCTATCCTTCTGAGTGATGCTCTTGGGTCTTCATCTAGCGCTTGAAGAATTGCTTTGATTTTTCTTTGATCCGGCGATTTTTTGTCAATTTTTATGATGGGCGCCTTTTTGTTCATGAAGTGATACATCCTAACATGATACGTTACAGTGGAATAGCTAGGAGCATCCATACCGAAGCATTTTACCAATGTCTCGTAGATTTTTTACAGTCTTTGCATTTTTTTGCAAGAGCGAGGATGTTTTCTTTATGATTCATTAAAAAAATGAAAAAAATCCCGCCAAAATTTCCCGCGAAACCGCCTCTTGTCTCAAAATTCATTTTATATCCCGGCATGGCGCCAAAATACAACTTACTCATCATATACATATATTCATATTTTTTATTATATATTTATAATCAGCATATATCTCCTTTAATAGTCTCATATAGAGCGCTGTGCTAAACGCACCTTTGGACACCCTATAGTCAAATTTTAATAAAAAATTCATATTACGATAGATTGTTAACATCTGGAAATGTTCAAACTGAAAACATTATGAAGAAATATTCAATTTGCAAGCTTCAACATTTTTCATCTTACATTTGCGAAGCTGAATACCCATTTTTTAATGAGAGAAGTTCTTCGAGAATGATTCTCAAAAGGCGGAAATTTTTTAACTTGAAAAATAATTATTTAAATCAATTAGTGCCAAATACAATTTATCATTCTTTATTCCAAATTGTATTCCGTTATATTTTTATAAACAAAAAGGCGATCCGCTCATAAGTTCAATATTTTGAAGATATTCATAGCCTTCTAGATAAGAAATCCTATTCTATTTTCTCACTATAGTTTGCCAATATATATAGAAACTCTGGATTTTAATGCTAAGAATATCAAAGGCTGTCTCACCTTTAATATACTTTGCAGTGACGTAATTGAACCATAAAAGAAATAATAATTTTTTTTAGATTTTGATTGGAAGTAGTGAATGAATCCAAGAAAAAAAATGATTTAAATTTATAGAAAAGAGAAAAGAAAAATACTTTTTTTATTATTAAATTTAGAAGTCGTTGTAGCCTGCGTTCTTAAGTGTGTTCTTAAGAGAGACTGGCTTGAACTCGTAACCGCCACCACCGTAGAACTTAGAGCAGAATTCGACCCACATCAGACGAATACCGTGAAGTAAAGCGGAGAAAGCTTCCATACCAAGCAAAATAGCAGCAGTCATAACAGTGAAAGCCAAGAAAACGAAGAAAGTGAGAACCCAAGTGCCATTAGTCCAAGGGCCATCATGAGTTTTGCTGTAGTTGAAACCATTCAAGAACAACTCTTCCCAAATAACTTTAGACAACTGAGAGTGAGCGAGGGAAAGAGCCCAAAGACGCAAGTAAGAAGCAGTGTGAGAAAGAGCCTGAAGAACGAATTCAATAACGTGAATCAAGTTCATAACGATAGCTTCTAAAACAGACCAGTTTGGATCGCCATGGTGTAAGTAAGCTTCGAAACATGGTCTTAATACCAAGAAAACAGGGATTGAGCAGAAGAAGATTGTTGTAATAACAGCTTGAGCACCCCACTGTCCCTCGTAAAGTTTTAAATCATCATCTTCAGAACCGAAAGAAAGAATCATACCAATCATAACCTGAATAAGGTTGATACCATCTTTCTGAACATTGACATTATATAATGAAGGGTTTCCTTTGAAATTTGTGCACCACTTCCAAATGATGATGACAACCATGTAACCGTAGAAAGGAACGAGATAAAGTAATTCAGGGACACGAAGAGTGATGAGGGAAACCCAATCACGCTGTACAAAGTTATTAATGAAAGAAAGAATCAAACCAAAAATCATTTGTGCCATACCCACAATAACAGACATCTTCATCTTCAAAGAGTTGGAGAAAATAAGTTCGTTATCTTTGAAGAACCATGCTGGATCAAGACCGAATGGATAAATACTGGTGCTATTCTTCTTGTAAACTGTTAATTGAGGGTTTGAATTTCTATCATCTACATGGTAGTGTGAGCCGAAGAAGTTGATTGGTAAGCAGAATGTTTCGTTGTAAAGGAATCCGCAGTAGAATGAGCAAACTGAAGCGAAAAGTAAGAACCATTTGAATCTGTCGATCATTTCAAGCATACCACCCATGGAGTTGCCTTTCTTCTTCATGAGAGGGACCATGATGAACATGCCGAGGGTGACAAGAAGGTAGAAGATGGAGTGACCCATATCTCCGAACATGATACCGAAGAGGAATGGGTACATGCAGTAGAAAGCACCAGCGTTGATTTCGTTGTAGTTGGGAACACCGTATGCATCGTTGAAGAGTTGGAATGAGTATTGGAAGTTGTTTGTTTCGATGAATGTTGGTGGTTCACGTTGTTGGGCTTCGGCTTGTGTGTTGTTTGTACGGATTGGAACTGGAGAGTTTGCATTGTGTGTAGCGCGCTCAGCCAATGGGCCAAGCTCGTTGATATAACGACGTTATCATTTCATCGAAAAGAGTGAGCTCAAAGCAATAATTGATAGAATGTTCCTGAAATGATTTTTCAAAGCAAGTCAACCACATCTAATTTTCAATAGTTTACATTTTCTGTTCATTTATGAGTTCAATGGACAACACGGTTAATAATGGTAAAAACAAAAAATATTTATTACAAGGAGGACATGATCCTTATTTGATTTTATTAAAAGCTTGCGAGGAAGGAGATTATGAAACAATTAAATTTGCATGCGAACATGGTTACTTACCTAAGATGCCATCAATGTATATGAATAAAAAATTTGAATTGTATAAACAGGTCAATTTCTTCTCAAGTTTCATGGCAACTCATAGTCTTGAATCTATTAAATACATGTTCACACAGCCTAATGTGGATATTGATTCTCTTGACTCAACACCATATCACCATGCAGTTCTAAATGAAGATGTTGAAGTTACAAAATATCTTATTTCAATTGGAAAATTTGATATCAACGCAAAAGAACCATTTGGAGCATTTCCTATTCATTATGCTGCACTTAACAAGAATGTCGAAGTCTTCAAATTACTCTGTACTCTTCCGAATATTGATATCAATGCTATGGATAAAAGAAAACTCACACCTCTTCATTACGCAGTTCTAATAAATAACATTGAAGTTGTCAGATATCTTTGTTCACTTCCAAACATTGATATCAATGCTATGGATAGTGATAATCACACAGCTGCTTATCATGCAGCACTTAATGATTATGTTGAAATCATTCGAATTCTTTCTCAAAAGGCATAATTTTTTTTAAATCATATTTTAAAAATTGATATATATATAATCTCCTGTGCTTTTTTAAAATTTAAACATTAGAATTGATAAACTCCTTTTCCTTCGTAAGGTCTCTTATTCTCTTATTCAAAATTTTGATAGAGGTTCACTCAATATTGAGGGAGAAAAACAATAGGGATACTTTACATAGGATAATGGGTTTATATAAATGCTTTATAAGTCTATCTTTTGCATATTTCTTTTAACTTTTCATAGCATTTGCATATACAAAAGATGATACAATTACAAAAAGACATAATCTATAACAATGTTTATTCAGCATTGAACTTGGCGACAGCCTTGCCACCTTCTGAGACGGCGTGCTTGGCAAGATCGCCTGGAAGAACAAGACGAACAGCTGTCTGAACTTCGCGGGAACCGAGAGTGTTACGTTCGTTCATATCGACAAGGCGAGCACCTTCTTGGGCAATACGTTCGAAGATATCTGTAACGAAGGAGTTCATGACCATCATAGCCTTGTTGGAGATACCGATATCTGGGTGGACTTGCTTAAGAACCTTGAAGATGTAGGATGAGAATGTTTCAGCACGCTTCTTGTGGCGGAGCTTCTTATCTTGCTTGGCGGCGTTTGCAGCATCGACGCCCTCGACGGCTGGCTTCTTCTCTGTTGGTGTTTTAGAGGCTGGCTTCTTGGAAGACATTCTAAAATAATGATTACTTTTTTGGCGCCATGGCTACTTTATCGTACGCCGAAAAATGAACGGTCTAAAATGGCATTAATGGAAAAATATAAAAATGCCGTTTTATACCCTATTAAATTTCAATTCATTATTGCTTTTTTGGCGGTATATTTTATGAGTTCATTAATTCATAATGCCAGCCAAGAAAGGTGTTAAGAAGACAGCAACAAAGACAGCCGTTGATGGTGAACGCCAACATCCAAAGACACGTTCATCTCGTGCCGGTCTTCAGTTCCCAGTCGGTCGTCTTCACAGATTCCTTCGTGAAGGACGTTACGGAGAACGTGTCGGTGCTGGTGCTCCAGTCTTTATGGCCGCTGTTCTTGAGTATCTTACTGTCGAAGTTCTCGAACTTGCCGGGAACGCTGCTCGTGATAACAAGAAGACACGTATTTCTCCACGCCACATCATGCTCGCTGTTCGTAACGATGAAGAATTGAACCAATTACTCTCTAACATCACCATCGCTTCTGCTGGTGTTGTTCCACATATCCACAAGGTTCTCCTTGGCAATCCAAAGAAGGGCAAGGATGCATCCCAGACTCAGGAATAAACTGTTATTTTATGTATTTTCAAAAATTAAAGTCGTTTTAATTTTAAAATTGAGAGAAAAAACATAGACTGATCATTGCTTTAACAAATATCCGATATTTCTAACAAAGAGTTGAATGGTGTTTATAGTGTCTAACTTGATTTTTTTGTAACGAAAATATTTTTTTTTCTCTCTTGATTTGTATGGAAGGGCCTCCGAGCCCACGGCAGTTTAAACCTCATGTGCCGCTAATCCCATTACCTCCAGAGTCAGCTCCACGAGCAATTCGGCGCGTTCCTGTTCTGAGAAGTTCAGATAAAATTCTTAAATCAGGAAGATTTTTACCAACACTTCCTATTTTACCAGAACAAGGATCTAGGAATCCAAGATTCAAGCAAAGAAACGCCATTAAAACAGAAATACCAAAATCGACAAGAGTTTCAATAAATAGATTACCAAATTTGCCAATTACTCCAGAAGAAGCAAAGAAATCATACAACGATATCTTGTCATCATTCGAGCAATTCGAAATCAATCAGTTTCCTGAAATTTATTACATAGGAAACGTAAATAACAAGTTTACACAGAATTTTGATGATAAAAACCACAGTTACAAAGTTATTATTGGTGATCACCTTGCTTACAGATACGAAATTCTGCTGGTTCTTGGTAGCGGCGCATTTGGAAAAGTTGTCAAGTGTTTTGACCACAAAAATAAAGTTCTTGTTGCAGTTAAGATCATTATATCCACCCAGCAAATGGCGGAACAGTCTAAAATAGAAGCATCTTCACTAGCAAAAGTAAATAAAATTGATACAAATAATATTGTTCGCGCGTACGATTTCTTTGTATTCAGAAACCATCCTTGCATTACATACGAGCTATTGGGATCCAGTCTTCGAGGTCAGCGCGTTATTACTCCCAGTATTAAACCAATTTGTTACCAAATCTTTTCAGCTTTGGCATCTCTCAAGAAATGTGGAATAATCCACTGCGATATCAAACCAGACAATCTATTGTTCATCCAGGATACTACAAAAGTCAAATTAATTGATTTTGGAACTTCTTGTATTTCTGGACGACAAATTTTCACTTATATACAGTCTAGATTCTACAGAGCACCTGAGGTAATATTGGGATGTGGTTATGGCCATGAAATAGACGTTTGGAGTGCTGCATTAGTTTGTATCGAATTAATTACAGGAAAACCTTTGTTCCCTGGATCAAATGAAGTTGATATGCTTAGATTATTTATAGAGTTCATGAAATATCCTCCAATTGAGCTCCTAAGGAAGTCTTCCAGAGTTTTAAATTTCTTTGACGATAAATACCGTCCTTTATTCCATGTAAAGCCAGGAACTAAGAATATATTAGATTTTGTTGGATCAATTGATCCTCAATTCTATGATTTATTGACTCATTGTTTGAGATGGCTTCCTTCTGAGAGATTTACGCCAGAACAAGCTCTTGCACATCCATATTTCAGCGATATAGTTCCACAGTCAAATCTTCCAGATCTCAGAGCTTCTTACAAAGGAGAAACTCTCGGATAATATTTTTATTCAAAAATTTTTGACCATTATATTATTGTTATATTAAATATTTTCATGTTTTGCGTTAACCAATTAACATTTTTTGTTTTTTATCGCTTTTCATCTGAGATAAAATTAGATATAAATTAGATTTTGATTTTGATAAAGTTCTGTGATCTAAAAATCTAATCCATTCTAAATAAAGTTCTGTTTCATTCTTCGAAGCATATCAATCCTGTTAATTTTTTTCGAAATGTTTTTGAACTTTTTCTGAAGAAAGATTTAAATTAATGAATAATTCATTCGTAATGATGATATTTTATATCTATCTAACTCTTCAATATCTAGCTATTTCAATCATATAATATAATCTATTTTGAGATATCATTATAAATGTAATGTAAATGTAAATTATTTATCTCATTCTTCAATCACTAACATTCTCAATGATATAGTAATGTCTTAAAAATATAAAGTAGTATATGATGCGGGGTTTGTGACTTTTTTTGTAATCGTAAGAATTCATACATAATTGAATGATTTTTGAACATACTTCCGAATAGCAGATTTTAAAAATTTATGAATAATTTATAAAAAGTTTTTATTCAGGTCAGGTGAATGGGGCTTCCAGGGGCTGCGCCCCTTCTAGCCCCTAAGAAATGGACACAAGACCCAAGAGGAGGACCGAACCCCAGCCGACCAGCCGGTGACACTTTTTGTTTCACTTTTCACAAATTATATATGTTTTCATGTTTTGTCAGTTTTCTGTCACTTTTCAGGAAAAAACATTTTTATTATATATATAAAATGAATTTTACAAAACCACCGTTACCCTTCTTTGGAAATAAGAGTAGATGTAAAGATATTCTATTGAGAGAACTTAAGAAACTACCGAATGGTCTAACATTTGTAGACTTGTTCGGTGGAAGTTTCTATATATCTCATTTGTGCCATACTGTATTTCCTGACTCAAAGATTATATGCAATGACTTCGACAACTATATGGACCGTCTCAAACATATACCAGACACTAACAAAATATTGAAAGAGTTAAAAGAAAAGATACCTATAGCTAACATGGAACGTATACCATTAGATAAGAAAAATATTGTCAGAGAGGTTTTGGAAAAAGCAGAGTATATTGACTGGGATAGTATATCTTCTAGACTATTATATAGTGGTTCTATAAGAGTTCATGACATTGAAACACTTATGTCAAACGTTTTATATCTTAACTATACAAAGGTTTTCAAAGAGGACATAGAAAAATATACTGAGGGTATAGAGTTTGTGAGATGTCATTGGACAGAGTTGTATGAAAAATACAAAGACAAGGAAAATGTTTTCTTTATAGTAGACCCACCGTTCTATAACACATACGATTTTCAATACCAAGTAGACTGGACTTTGAGAGACTCTTTAGAAACTTTAGACGTTTTACATAACCATCCATGCTTTTACTTTACATCCGATAAAAGTGGTTTGGAAACCGTTATGAGATGGCTAGAGGACATACATGACTATGAGTTTAGATATGACAAGATAGAATATGAGAGAGGTCCTATAAACCGGAGAAAGTGTCACAACAAAGAAATTTTATTGGTAGGTAAATGTGGTTTGAAATAGGACTACTTGTTTTAGGTTTTTTCCATTGTGTCATCTATTTCTTTGACGTGGCAGAAAAGTACAGAGAATATGAAGATGAACCAATGTCTGCAAATGTTCAGCATATGTACTCGTAAGAGATATTTTTATCTAATATTAAATGGACGCACAGAACTTAGCGAATGCACAGCAACCTGGACAACCAAACCCAGAGAATATTCCAAATGAAGTTAGAATACAAACTGCAATGGCAAACTATGGTCAAGTGCCAACAGATGTACAAATGCAAACTGCCATGTCAAATGACGCTGCGTTAGGTTTGCCACCATGGTATGCAAATATGAGATGGAAAGAGTTTTATACAAACCCTGAAGTGGGATATAAACAACTCTATGCAGATGACGCGAACACAGGAGTTGACCCAGAGTATGTTTTCTACCAGAGGAGAAATAGAATGTATGAGCTCCAGTTAAAGAATGCAATGGAACTCAGAAGGAAACGTAAGAGACTAGGCGGACATTAGATTTTTACATATAGTAAAATGGGTTTCTTTGGAAGAATAGGAAACTTCTTTCGAAATGTTGGAAGAGGTATATGGAATGGAATAAAATCTGTCGGAAGAGGAATTTGGAACGGTGTCAAAAATATTGGTAAAAGAGTAGGTCAGTTCGTTGGTATTATACCTAAAGACCCTGAACCAGAAGAACAAGCTCCTGTTATACAACAGCCTGAACCTGCACCACAGTCTAGTTGGCAACCAAATCCAACACCTCAACCGTATTAAAAAATTATATTTTTACCGTTCGATAGTAGTTGTATATGAAACTAAGTTCTAAGTAAAACGCATGGTATAATGGAACTATTCTCTTTCTTCCATCTGTTGTAAACCATACTTGAAAGTCTGAAATACTTCCACTCGGTGGTTCATATAGCTTTGTAGGTTTTTCGTAAAAGTCATTTGCCAAGCATAAAAAAGAGTTTTGTGCACCAGAAAATGAAGCATGAACTATAATAGCGTCTGAGTCGAAAACATTTTCATATGTTCCATTAGGGTTTTCGACTTCATAATAGTCCGGGTGTACTGGATACCATGCAGGCTGATTTAACATCCTCAAAAATCTATGCCATGCCAAGTTGTTATATTTTGTAGAAATATAAACGTTTTCTCCAAGGTCTTCTATTTTATTGATTTTAACAGTTGCATTTTTCCTGTCATATATAATATCGAGATGGTACTCTCCTTCGTCAATGTTGTACTGGTTTGCATATTCGAGATAGATATCGTTTATTTTTTCTTGAAAAGCTTGAAGAGTTGTTTCTAAGTTTACAAGCAAATTCACTTGTAAAAGTTTTCCCTGTTCAAATTTCTCATACGTACGTTTTTCTTTGTTATAGTATCGAACTTCAAAACCGACCGTAAATGGGAAACCATGTATGGCTTCTGAAATGAACTTCATTCTACGAAAGCCAATAGCTTTTGTGACGGATGGGTCTCTTAGCCATCTTAACGGGTAGTCAAAACGATAGCCTTCATGCTTTACGGTCTCTGTCTCAAACTTTTGACCGACATTCGTAAAAAGTTCATCTAATGGTTTAGTTGTAGCAACTCTAGAAGTTTCTTTTTCTATTGGAAGCATATTTTATCTAGAATAAAAATGTCAAATGAAACAGCGTCTATGAGAGAAATACAACACAACCGACAACTCATTATACAAGCTCTAAATAAGAACACAACAAACTTTTCAAACTATTCTAAGATATCTGAGTCATTGAAAGAAGGAAGCTTAAAACTGACATTAAACCCAATGACAGATGAGTTTCTGTTTCAAGACAACAAGAACCATACTGTTTGTATAAATCCAACAAAAGGAACTTTAAACGAGAAACCTATAAAAGAACTTCTTTTGAAAGCAGATGTTGACAACAAAGCTGACAAAGAGTATGTAGACGATGCAATAGCAAAAGAAGAAGAAAGAGCTAACAAAGCTTATGCAACAAAAGAGGATGTTGAAAAGAAAGCAGATAAAACATATGTTGACGATGAGTTAGCATGTGTGACTAGTGCGTTAGTGAAGAAGGCATATAAGGAATATGTGGATGAAAAAGACAATGAAATTAAAGAAAGGGTTGACTGGTACCATGAACGGACATCGAAGATTTTAAAAACTAAAGCCGATACAGGATGGGTTTCAGGGTGTTTAGACCTTAAAGCCGACAAGAACCATACACATACCATTGCAAATATTGCAAACTTACAAGAAACCTTAAACAGGAAAAGTGGCGTTGGACATACACATACCATTGCAAATATTGCAAACTTACAAGAAACCTTAAACAGGAAAAGTGACGTTGGACATACACATAACTTCTTCTCAACTGTTGGTATAGAAAGTATTTTAGGAACGATTGAAGAAACTGGTGGGGGTGGATTATATTTTAAACCTCCTAACTTTCCAGAAGGTTTAACATCGGATAAAGACATTAGATGTAGAAATGTCTATGTCATGGAGGATGAAAAAAAAGTTAAATTCACTGCTCAAGATTTATATGATAAAAAAGCTGACAAAACAGAGCTTCAAACATTAAAGATTGAAATACTTCAAACACTATATCCTATAGGTTCTATTTATACGTCAATGAACTCTACCAGACCAGAAGTAGTACTTGGTCTCGGAACTTGGACTCAAATAGTCGACAGGTTTTTGTATTGTGCAAACTCTTCAAAGGAAACAGGTGGAAGTAAAACGATTTCAGGTGAAAACTTACCTGCACACAGTCACTACGTAGATTTAAGTACATCTCAAGCAGGTTGGCATAAGCATAGATATTGGGATTGGTCAGCAATGACAAAAGGTAAAGGATATGATGTTAAAGACAACGTTAAGTTTGCTATAGATTGTTTCTGGAGTAACACTGAGGGAGGAGGAAACCATACACATCGCGTTTTAGGGTATACACAAGCAACGGGACAAAGTAAAGACTACATGCCACCTTACATGACAGTTTACGCATGGTATAGAAATGCTTAGTCGTCATTTTCAACTTCTTTAGCATATTCGTCAGGAGTTGTCTTATATTTGTTAGGAACTGTCTTTGAAAGTATACCACCTTGAACTTTGACAAGTTTGAAACGAGGTCTGACAATAGTCGTTTTATCTTCTGCTTGCAGTCTGTACATTTTGCCATGTTTGCCTAAAACTTCATAATATTCTCTTGTATACTTTCTTCTATTTTTACGAACACGAACGTGAGTACCTGTCGGGTACTTGTTGTTGTCATAGTCAATAGTATTTTCATATGGGTCGCGTTTAGGTATTTCTATTTTTACTTTGTCACCTTTCTGAAGTTTGAAGCCTGGCATTCTTTCTTGTTTGTCTCTTTTGACTAAATTGTTAAATATATAGTCTTTCTCTAAG